ACAAACTGGAAAAGAAAATTATAGAGCTTAATCTGCTTTGCCAACATTTGAATATATACAAAGAAAATGTTACTTAAAAAAAGCTTTTACTACTGTAAACTAGCTTGATGAACTTCTTGGAACTGATTATGGGAGAGCACAAAATCTGTAGAAATCTCAGGTCTTATAAAACCTTTGTTGCAAAAAGAAATGCATATGGAAGTTATTTATTCAAAGTAATTGAGAGGAAAAAGCATGCCCCCACCCCACCCCTATCCCCAACCCATGGGTTATTTTTAGAAGTTAAAACCATGTACCGCATAAATGAGGAATCACATTCACATGGTTTTGCTTCCAAACATTGTGATTCATCCTAACAAACGGATCAACATCTAGTTGAGCTTTTCCCACAGAGTTGAGGCATGTACGGGATCCGTATTCAATGAAAGCTATATAGTACGTAGTAAGAAAGATACAACTACCATTCTGGACGATCTTTGTAAGACAAAATCATGTACAAATGTGTCCTGGTCATGCTAGCTGGCTGCCAACCCTTGAACTCTTTTAGCCACTTATTTCACCTACTAAGGATCTATATAAACAGACTTCTTCAGTTGATATTCAACACAAACACAGAGAACTACATCCTACACAGAGAACTCAATTTCTTGAATTAGCACTGCCTCTACTTTAAAAAAGAAACATTTTGATCATGGCAATCAGTATGGGGCACATTCTTCGTGGTAAACACGGTCTCAGAAGGTCCTCTTCAAGAACAAACAGAGAAAGTGAGGTTCCTAAGGGTCACTTTGCAGTTTATGTAGGCGAGAGTGAAAAGAAACGCTTTGTCATTCCAATTTCATACTTGAAGGAGCATTCATTTCAAGACTTACTAACTCAAGCTGAAGAAGAATTCGGGTTTGATCATCCAACGGGGGGACTTAGGATACCTTGTCCTGAGGACACCTTCATTGACATCATCTCTAGTATAAGTAGATCTTGATAGACGACATTCAGTTTAGTTTATAGCCAGTAGAAATTTTTTGAAGGGGGGAGCATACTTGTACATTGTGATTTGTTTTCCAGATCAGATTGAGAAATATAATCTTTAAAATTTAATCAATAGTCCTGCATCAATTGTATTGCTTATCTTGAGCCTGTCAAGTGGTTTTAAAGGAAGTCTAACTATTCCAGATCAGAAACTAACGCATAAAACAACAACAAAAAGTAATGCATGTTGGACATTAGAATAACTATTCACTCCATTGGACATTGAAACTACACCGTACTTTAAGAGAAACTGAAATGAAGATAGCTATGGAGGTCCTATTTATGAATCTTCCTGTTTGACCCGCTAAAGGTCAGATCTTGAGGTCTACCACTACTGCAATTCAGAAACTGAGCAATTCAGGGGAGATAACATCTCAGCCTCCAGGCTAATTATTTCCAATCAGAAACTGAGTCAACATGGTTGGACTCTTAGATAGCAATAATTGAGTCCATTTGTTAGAAGCAGGAGTTAACTCACCGTGAATGTACGAAATTAGTACGCCAAAGAAAGCCTCCATGGAAATCATGTGAGCTTGTCAGTTGTCATGAAATTTTTTCCGGCCTCTAGACGTTTTAGTTCATATTATTACTGTTCAAAATGGGGAGCTTTTTTATCAAAATGGGCCGAAAAAGGGTATGTAATAATCAAACTACCATGGTTGTCATGAATGCAATCAGTTAGGCTGGAGTGTTTGGTTTAAAAATATAGAAACATACTCCGTATAAAATTATTTTAAAACCTATTTCAATTTTCAAACTTTGACGTTTAGGTAAAAAGCAAAATCTCATGAAGAAATTCAAATGTTTCTTTCAAACTACAAGTTTCTAACTTGGACAACCTCAAACTCCAGCTCGCACCCTGTTCGAATTCTATTCAATTATTTCTTCTCTTTTTGTTGTACCATGAAGGTGAAGAGCCCAACCAAATTAAAAGAGAACATCCTGGGAAGTCCGATGTGGAGACAAACAATGAAATTAAGGTAATTACATCGGCCTATCTAGTCCTAAAAATTTTGTTCCTGAGTTTGGACCTGTTTGAACCTGGGTTCTTCCTAAAACAGCTAAAAATTGATGTGGTCTTAAACCATCAATATTTTCTCTATATATGGCCTAGTACTACATTCTGATCTAAAATGTGTACTTAATTTATTGCATATAACTTTATAAGGATATAACTATAGGTCAAGTGATAAAGGAATATCTTGTCCATGGACATTATTCAACTTAATTACTAGAGAGTTTCCTGTTTTCCTTCAAGAAAGGAAAGATCTAGAACTGTATATGGCATATTGCTGAACCACAGTTTTCGTATACTTGTAAGAATAATGAAGAATATGACTTCCTTTCTTACCACTTAAAGGGGTTCACAAGTAATCAATACTAAATAGACAGACGTGCTGATTGAATTCAGAAAATTGTATCCCCAAATCTGGTTGGTAAAAAAATGTCGAACACTATACAAGAAAAATGTTCTCTACAAATTGTTCTATTGACTATAAACTAAGATGCCTGAAGTCTATTAAGATCTACTCATACTAGAGAGGATGTCAAGGAAGGTATCCTCCTGACAAGGTATTGTAAGTCCACCCGTTGGATGACAAAACCCAAACTCTTCTTCAGCTTGACTTAACAAGTCTTGGAATGAGTCGTCCTTCAGGTATGAAATGGGAATAACAAAGCGCTTCTTCTCGCTCTTGCCTACATAAACTGCAAAGTGACCCTTAGGAACCTCACTCTCTCTGTTTGTTCTTGAAAAAGATCTTCTGAGGCCTTGTTTACCACGGAGGATTTGACCCATGCTGATTGCCATATTCAAATGTATCTTTAGAGAAAGTCTAATTCAGGAAACTGAGATCTTTGAGGTTGATGTAGTTGAGTATAGGTTGATTACAAGAACTGTGTTTATATAGATCCTGTAGGAGGTGGAAGAAGTGGCTAGAGTTTAGGTTGGGGGAAGCCAGCTAGCATCTTTAGGACAATTTGCACATGGTTTTGTCCTTGTAAGATCATCCAATTATTTACCAAGAATTTTGTGGCTAAAAGGCAATCATAAGACAATTGCTTATATTTTTTGAAGATCAACTTAATGCCAGATGTCACTGATCCATTGCTTGGATTAATGAGATGAATTGGAATCAAAACCTTGTGATCTGATGCCCCATTTATGTTGAACATGATTGTTATTCTTGTCTGATTTACTCAAAAACTTCATTTTCGAAGTGTCTTAAACATTACATGATTGTTATGATCACTTACATACTGGCATTTCGTTCATCAAACATTACATATCAGTACAATCAAGATTTGTCTGACGTTTCTACATGTTATGCAATCATCAATTTATTTTCTCTGTCCCTCTTAAAATTTTCTTACTTACTACCATGATCAGTTCTAGGAACAAGCTAGCAAGAAATGGCAGAAATTTGCTTCTATCTAGAGCACAAAAGAATGCATCTACAAGTCTGAGTTTCACCAAACTCGGGTGTTTATCATATCCGGTGGACCAAAGCAAGGTAAGGTAGAGAAACCCGGCAGTGCAAGTATATGCCAAGTTTACCGATATCAAAGTTGACCTGTTTGTTGTAAATGGGGGAACGAGACTCTTAACTAATATATTTTGTTATCTGCATAGAGGTGTTTATTGAAATTTACTGGTTATATTATAATATTTAAAAATAATGAACAAAAGCAGTATTCCTTATAATATTAGTGAGCGTATAGTTGTGAATAACTGTACAATAGTACATGAACTAGATGACACACATAAGCTATTGACAGTCCTTAATCCTGGTTTCACTAAACATGTAATAATGATCAACACAGCCTTCTTTGGAATGCTTCTCCATTTCAGGCTCCTTGATCTCCACCGCCCTTGGAAATCGGTTGTCTTCTTGTTACAAAAACATAAAATAATATCTGCTGGTTCATCTTCATTAAGTTGTTCTGAGATCATTATTGAAAACAATTCAACTCCATTCGTCCTATTTTGTTTGCTTTGTCTTTCACTTTTAGGCCATAAAAAATGTTTGCCCTATTCCAAATTCGGCCATATTTCGAGGCTCACAATCACTCTTAATTTTACAGATTAAATATCTGGAAAACTCATTGTTCATTTACACTTCCTTAAAACTTCATGTCCTAACTTAGTGGAACAGACGTAGTATAAAAGTATGGACTACTCTTCTCCTTATTTTATTAGTTTAAAGAAATGCAGTGTTATATCTTGACTCAAAGGGCTACATGCTTTATTTATTGTCCTCACCAGTCATTACTTGTGTTTCTATGCTACTCATTATATAAACCAGATTACTCTGGTACCCAGAAGGCAGAAATTGAGGCTTATTGTTGATCTATAATAAAAGGAAACATCAACAGTAGACTTTCATTTTCAGCTCCTTTGTAAATCTAGGTAGGGACCTTATCCGACAACCCTATTTTTGGTGTTATCGATACACTATAGTGTTTTGCTGATATGAACACTTGTAGGTTTGTGCCTCTGAGTAAAAATAGAATTGATGGAAATAATTGGTGTACATGTACAATAACTAATGAGCCAAATGAAATTCAAAAAAGAAATTTTGTAAATATTACTGAATTCGCGAAAAGATGCACCAACACACCAATATACTAAGTATTCACTTAGAGAAATCATCTGAAATCATCGACAGATTCCTCATTCAACTACAGTGAGATTTATGATTAAGCACTTATCTCCAATAAATATGTTTGTATAAGGATAATAATGATTAAAGATTCTTCTGTAACAATTCCACATTTCCTTGGAATTCTTCATTTCAGGTAGTCTAATATTGCAGTTTAGTTTACATTGCAGATAGAAAGCATTCAGAAACATAAATGCTTGAGTCTTACTGCTGTTGAATCTTTGTTTTCTTATCCTTGGAGATATATTGAATAATTAGACTTCCTTTCCTACGAAGGGGTTCAAGATAAGTATTAAATAGACAAAGTACTGATAGAATTATAAAGAATGTATATTCCAATCTCAAGAAGAATACAGATATAGAACTCTGTACAAGAATAATTTTCTCTGCAAAGTTGTTCTGCTAACTCACTAATAACTATAACCTAAGATGTATGAATTCTATCTAGATCTGCTCATACTCGAGATGATGTCAACAAAGGTATCCTCCGGACAAGGTATTGTGAGTCCACCCATGGGATGATCGAACCCGAACTCTTCTTCGGCTTGAGTTAACAAGTCTTGGAAGGAGTGGTCCTTCAAGTATGAAATTGGAATCACAAAACGCTTCTTTTCACTCTCACCAACATAAACTGCAAAGTGACCCTTAGGAATGTCAGTTTCTCTATTTGTTTTTGAAGAAGACCTTTTGAGGCCTTGCTTACGGAGAATGTGCCCCATACTTATTGCCATATTTTTGTAGAGACTTTTAGTTGAAGGCAGAAGCTTTGTTTGTATGAAGCTAGGAAACCCTCGAGTTGAATGGGTAGAATGTTAACTGGAATGTGTTTATATAGGTATGATCCGTTAGGAAGAGTAGTATAGATGGGAAGGGATCCAGCTTGAATGATATGAAATCAGGATAGCTCAACCACTCCTGTCATCACCACATGCTTTGTTCTTCCAAAACATCTAAATGTTTGCCAATTGCTTTGTAGATAATGGAGATCAGTCCCCACTTGATTCAGTCAATTTGTGATAGCTCAACCACTCAAGAAAAGTCTACCAAATGAGAGATGAAGTTGAATCGGTAAGTTAAAAAAGAGGACTTTATGTGGAAACAAAACCATGTGAATACATTTATCCTTTTATAATTGCATGTGAAACGCTCCATCAAATTGGAGCAACGTGGTTGAACGTAAACCAAACACACCACTAAGAGACATATTCATTAGACATGGTCTTAACTTTCTTAACCTCAGAACCTTAAACAGACACTTTCATAAGCATTTTCATCATTTAATCTGCAAGTTAGCAGATTGTGTACATGTCTTGTACTGTCCCATTCATCAACTAGCTTAAGGCTGGCAAAAATTTGCCAACACAAAGATGATTTCATTTTCAACAGGGGTTAGAGTCTTAGGGTGTGTTTGGGAGTTGTGTTTTGGAGGGGAGGGGAATGGTTAGGAGGGTTCATGACCTCTCCTATCTTGTTTGGGAGTTTAGAAATTCGGAAGGAATGGTTTTGGAGGGTTTTTGTGACCCTTCAAAACCCTTAAATGTTCAATTTTTAAGTTCCCCAAATTGGGGTATTTTGAAAGATAAATAATTAAATGATAACTTTAACTTAATTAAAAATGAATATAAATTCAACTATTTAAATTCGTCATATCTCTAAAGTGATTTTAATTATAATTCCTCCTTAACCCCTCTCTATTTAAATTTTCAACTCCGGAACAAAAAGAAAGGTTTCCTTCCCTTCTCTTCCCTTCCCCTTTCCTCCAAACTCGGAAACACACCCTTAGAGAACTTGAAGAGTCATGAGGGGCATTTTCTATATATACTACTAATCAGAAGCAGTTCCTTGTTCCGCTATCTTATAATGAAAATGATATTATTTGGCAACTCTTAGACTTGTCTGAATAAAAAACATTGAAGGACCTGATATAATTAGACTTCCTTTCCCATATAGGTGCAGGATATGTAAGAAATTAAGACAAGGCCATTGATAAAATTTTGAACTTTATATTTCTCAATGTGATCAGGAACAAAGACAATGTACAAGTCAACTTTTCTAATCAAAATTGGTCCTACTGGATATACACTACGCTGCATGTAGCCTATCAAGATCTACGCATACTAGAGATGATGTCTATGAAGGTGTCCTCCGGACAAGGTATTGCAAGTCCACCAGTTGGATGATCAAATCCGAATTCTTCTTCAGCTTGACTTAGCAAGTCTTGGAATGAGTTGTCTTTCAAGTATGAAACCGGAATGACAAAGCGTTTTTTCTCACTCTCTCCTACATAAACTGCAAAGTGACCCTTGGGAACCTCAGTTTCTCTGTTTGTTCTTGAAGAAGACCTTCTGAGGCCTTGTTTGCCACGGAGGATGTGTCCCATACTGATTGCCATGTTCAAACGTCTCTAGAAATTAGAGGAAGAGCTAATTCAGGAAAGAGAGATCTCTGTGGAGGATGTAGTTGAGTTTGTTGTGAATACCAAATGAGGAATGTGTTTATATAGATCCTTTAGGAGGTGGAGCTAATGGCTAAGAGAGTTTAGTGTGGGGGCAGCTAGCTAGCATTACTGGGACACATTCTCACATGCTTTTGTCTTTCAAAGGTCATCCAGAAATGTACAATTAATTCTGTAGTTAAAGAGTTGTCACTGGCCGGACATGATTCCCTACATGCTTCAAAGCTCAACCAACTGCCAGATGTCACTGATCCATTTTTTGAATCAATGAGATGATTTGGAATCAGACAAACCATGTGAATGTGGTTCATCATCTTTGTGGAACATGGGTTTTTGCCTTGTCTGATTTACTCAAGAGATTCAAGCATCTTATCCTTGCTTCTTAAGCAGTTTAAATTGAGGATCAAACACTACAAATCTGTCCAAACAAGACCTGCCTGAGGTTTCTGCAGATTTTGTGATCTTTCATTCACTACTCTCTCTCATATATTTTTGCTTATCCGAGAACAGTTCAAAGAAGCTCCTTTGGCATGAAGTAACGATGGTAGGAATTTGCTTACATCCAGAGAACAAGGGAATGTATTTACTAGTAATCTGACTTTTTCTCACGTTGGGGGGTGTTTTGGGGGGTGTTCATCATTTCACCAAGACGGTGGGGGGGACTTTAACTTAATACATTTTGTTTTCTGGGCAGAAGTGTAGTTTTTAAAGTAATTATATTTGTTCAGAAACCATTCGTGAAAATTAATCTACATAAACTATGTAATGTTTGTTGTAAAATCCTGGGAATAACATGTGTGTGAATTATTCATCCTTGTAAGCAGCATACTCATTAGGACACCAAGCTTTTCCTGATCCTTGTAATGATCCTTGTAACCTAGTTAGAACAGGTGGTTTAATATGCTATTGCCACCAAATCTGTAGACTCATCAAATAAGTGACTCATCATCAAGCTCAACCAGTATAAATAGTGGCTTGATGAGGTCCTGTAAATTAATTCAAGCAATTTAGAGAATTCAGAAGTTTCAGAGATTAAGAAGAAGTTATTTAGAGTTTATTATCAATATATCTATCTCTTAAATCTGTTCTTCATCTCCTTCATTTCACAACACGTTATCAGCACGAATCTGCTCAAAACTCTCCAAGAAATTCATCTCCCTGCAGGTATGAATATCATTATTATTTCTCTTTAATCATAAACTCTTTCGAACATAAATACTCCGTATAATTTTATTATGATTACTCAACATCTCACATCATAATAAAAGGATAATAAACAAATAAAGATGCATACCTTTACATCTTCAGTCGTTGGCTTTAATAAGTCTTTTTGAGTAGAGGCAACGAATAAAGAAAATAATGATAGAAGAAGGTGATGATAGGAAAACTAAGTAAGATAAAGAACCCAATATAGTTGAGGAATACTTGGATTCGCTAATTGTAATGGACATCTGAGAGGATATGAATAATAAGAATGTAATAGACAAACGAGTTATAAAAGAAGAAATGGTCTGAATATAAAGATGGAGTTACTGCTGCCGTTGTTCAGACTAAAATAAATGCAACTCACGGACATGCTTTGATAAAATAAATTCATTGCATAATGACAGGTAAGATTGTTGTTTTTAGAGTTCTAGACTATTCAAATATCACCTAGACTATTACAGATTGATATATGTGGTCAGATAATTTACATGCATGCTTACAGTCTAAACAAATACCTCGTTGTACGTAATACTAAAAGTAAGGCAAGTCACTATTTCAATTCAAAATTATTGACTACTTGTCTACTTGAACCTTGGTTCTCTGAATGAATATTTGGCTTTTTAATCTGTAGGTGTACTCAAATTAGTTTCTACTATTTATTAATACGAAATAATCGAACTTCAATTTTTATGACACATAACTATACAAATTACAGTTACTTAATCACGTTCATTATAAAAGTTTATTATCAAACACGGAGTATTACAAGTAACACTTAAAGAATATGTACTTACTCTACGTTTATTATTATTATGAATGCATAAAATTAAAGACACGTACATTGCTAAACTTTATGTATAAAATGAATAACATACTTATTTGTTAATATTTAGACTATATTTTAAAATCATATATTTTGTAAAATGTTTAGTAATGAATGTACATTAATAATTCTTGTAGTATATCATGGCAAATATAAGCAAAAGAGAATTCGATGTTCTTGATCTGTCTGGACAAAAATACCTGGAATGGAAAGTTGATGCATTAGCACATTTGAAGGCTAATGGTCTTGAAGACACTATTGAGGCAAATAAGCCGTCATCTGCCCAAGACAAAGCGAAAGCTATTATTTTCCTCCGTCACCATCTCCATGAAAGTCTCAAATCTGAATATCTTTTGGTTGATGATCCAAAAGAATTATGGGACAATTTACAGGAGAGGTATGGCCACCAGCAAAAGGTCCTTTTGCCTAAAGCTCAATATGACTGGATCAATCTAAGATTCCAGGACTTTAAATCTATCAGTGACTATAATTCTGTCATGTTCCAAATAACATCCAAACTTAAGTTATGCGGACAAAAAGTCACTGATGCTGATATGTTGGAGAAAACTTTTTCTACTATGCATATTTCTAACATGCTGCTTCAACAGCAATATAGAGAAAAAGGTTTTAAAAAATACTCCGACCTTATATCAGTTTTATTGGTCGCTGAGCAAAATAATGACCTTTTGATGAAAAATCATAATCTGAGACCCACTGGTTCTAGTCCTTCGATTTATGGTCCATCTGGACATAACATTGCCACTGAATCAAACGCAACACACAGTGGCACACGAAGGCATTTTAAACGTGGGAATTTTAGTGGTCATAATAACAAGTCCCACCGAGGATATAAACGGGTCGAAAGACCAAATTACAAGGGCAAGGGCAAACAAAAAGCCCATCAAACAAATCGCCCTACAAAAACCTCGGTGAAAACGACTTGTTACAAATGTGGCATGACGGGACACTGGGCTAACAAATGCCGTACTGCAAAACATCTTGTGGAGTTATTTTAAGCTTCCATAAATTTAAACAAAGGCAAAAATGTGGAAGCAAATTATGTCAATGACACAACTCCATCTCTGCCAAAATTTGATGTGTCCGACTTCTTCATGGATGATAGAATAATGGATGATGCATTTGCCACTGATCAAAATAACACAAAATAAATTATAAGACTTTTGTGTCATCGTGTACTTTTTCTTTAGATTGCCTTTATGTTCTTTTCATAAATAATGATGTAATATATGTACTTTAATGTTATATATGATGTATAATTTGTGTAACTTGCATATCAAACTTATGCTTATTTATTTAT